ATAAAAATAGTACTCTCTCTATTGACTTATCAGAGCATGCTTAGGTATTATTTAGTATGAGGTCGTGCGATCGGCTCCATGTGACAGTGGTACCTGCTTCATTCAAGTTTAGGAAGTGATGACTCAGGTAGATGAGGGAATCACAGAGAGATGTACAGAGGTCAAAGTCTTAACAAGCCACAAGTCCAGATTGCTTTGTAATCAATTGCACATGATTATAGGTAATGCAGAAAGCAACACAATAAGCAGTATCTTGTCTTTGATCTTGTTCAGTACCATCTTGTGAAAGTTACGAGACATTTCTGCTTTGAAGTAAACAGCAATATAATTAATTCAGGTAGCTGTTTACAAAAGGTTACTGACTTGATAACAAGAAAAGGTCTAGTCTTTTTTCTTTTCTTTTTGCTTAATCAGTATGATTGCTTGCTAGGGCAAAATTAACGTGTGTTCTTTCACATAAGTGCTTTATAACCTCACGTTATTTATTCTCTAATTCCTTAGGCTTTATGTATAGAGTGACATAGCCTTAGTGTTGATAGCTACAATGTCTTGCAGGGTCATTAAAAGTGTTAAACTGACAACATAAGTTAGAGAATTTTTCCAATTTTGCTATTTTGGCTGAAATTTTTAAGTTCTGGAATTCTCAACAATTGAATAATAATTAAAGGGTCTCAACAGTGCCAGGAAAACAAACCCGTTTTCCTGGCACTGCAGTACCCTGCAGTGCCCCCCATCCCATGTCGCTGTAGGGGTTAAAACTCCTTCAGCTACTTACCTGAATACAGCGCCGATGTGCCTTGGCGCTGGGTCAGACTCCTCCCCCACCGACGTCAGCCAGCGGGGGAGACTTAATGCGCATGCTTTAGGTCTTCAATGCTTTCCTATGGGGAAAATCTGACACTGGAGGTTGGTGAGGATGTCCAGCATCAGATAACCGACCAAAGGTCAGTTTGGATTCTGGAAGCCCTCTAGTGGCTGTCTGATAGACAGCCACAGAGGACAGAGTTAGTGCTGCAATGTAAACATTGCAGTTCTCTGGAACTGCAATGTTTTACATTGCAGCACTAAGTGCAATAGGGGCACAGCACCCAGACCACTTCAATTAGCTGACCACTTCAATTAGCCTGGAGTGTCCCTTTAAACAACCATGTCAGCAAATACAGTAATTGTGATACTAAAGGTACATGACTTTGTGTGTTTGTTCACCATTTGTTTCATTGATTCACTGGCTACAGCCCTGTCATATATGTGATATGTTCACAGAACTCAGACATGTATGATGAGTTGTTTTTCGCGAGGGGGTTTGGGCTGTACACAGCGTTTGGAGGATTTTTGTATGTAGGATCATAATTTAACAGCTCACGTGTCAGCTGAATATTCTAAAGCAGGAGTGCCCACATATTTTAACATCTTGATCTAATTTTTAAATGAGCCGCTCAACAAGATCTACCTACTAAAGATCTACTTTTCTTACAAAACAAATACATTATATCCTTATTGCGACTACTGCATGTATTATCAAATCGAATTAAATAAATACATTAAAAAAAAACTGTCGCCCTCTAAAAAATCCCTGCCTCTCTTACAAAACACCTGCCACCCCTCTACAAAACCCCTGTCCTGACTTTACACAATCCCTGTCCCCACTTTACAAAACCCGTTACCCCCTTTACAAAACCCCTGTCATCCCTCTATAAAACCCCTGTCCCCCCCCTTTAAAAAAACTCCTGCCCCCTTTACAAAACCACTGCCCCCTCTACAATACCTCTGCCCCACTTTACAAACCTCCTGCCCCTTTCTACAAAACCCATGTAACCTCTCTATAAAACCCATCACCGCCTTTACAAAACCCCACTCACCCCTTCTACAAAACCTCTGTCACCCCTTTACAAAACCTCTTCCCCCTTTTATTGCAGCCCTGCCCACTCTACAAAACCCCTGTCACCTCTTTCTACAAAACCTGTCACCTCTTCTACAAACCCCTGTCACTCTTCTACAAAACCATTGTCACCGCTGTGCAAAACCCCTGCCCCCCTTTACAAAACTTCTGCCACCCTTTACAAAACCCCTGTCACCCCTTTACTAAAGCCCTGTGCTTCTTTTACAAACCCCTTCCCCCCTTACAAAACCCTTTGTCACCCCTCTACAAAACCCCTTGCCTGTCACCTCTCTACAAAAGCCCCATAACCCCTTTACAAAGCACCTGCCCCCTTTACAAAACCCCTGTCACCTCTTTACTAAACCCCTGTCCTCCTTTACTCTACAAAACCCCTTGTCATCCCTCTATAAAACCGCTGTCAACCCTTTACAAACCCCTGTTACCCCTTCACTAAACTATTGATCTCCCTTTACAAAACCTCGTCACCCCTCTACAAAACCTTCGTCACCCATTTACTAAACCCCTGTCCTCCATATTTACTAAACCCTCTGCCCCTCTAAAAAAAACCCTGTCACTCCTTTCCTTAAAACCCGATCACCTCTCTATATAACCCCTGTCATCCCTTTTACAAAACTCGTCACCCCTTTCCACAAAATCCCTGTCACCCCTTATACAAGACCTCTGTCACCCCTGTACAAATCCCGTCAGCCTTTTACTAATCCCGTGTCCTCCCTTTACTAAACCCCTGCCCCCTCTCCAAACCCCTGTTACGGTCCACAAAACCCCATCACCTCTCTATAAAACCCCTGTCAGCCTCTTGAAAAAACCTGTGTCACCCCTTTCCACAAAACCCCTGTCACCTCTCTACAAAGCCCCTGTCACCCCTTCTACAAAACATCTTCCACCCTGTACAAAACCTCTGACCCCATTTACAAAAACCCTGCTCCCCTTTACAAAACCCCCATCACCCCTTTACTAAACCCCTGCCCCCTATGCAAAACCCCTTGTCACCCCTCTACAAAACCACTGTCACCCTTTTACTAAACCCCTGTCACCCCTTTACAAAACCCCTGTCACCTCCTTTTACAAAACCCCTTCCCCCCCTACAAAACCCCTTGTCACCCCTCTACAAAACCCATTGCCTGTCACCTCTCTACAAAAGCCCTATAACCCCTTTACAAAGCACCTGCCCCCTTTACAAAACCCCTGTCACCTCTTTACTAAACCCCTGTCCTCCTTTACAAAACCCCTTCCCCACTCTACAAAACCCCTTGTCATCCCTCTAAAAAAAAAACTGTCCTCCCTCTACAAAACCCCTGTCACCCCTCTATAAAACCGCTGTCAACCCTTTACAAACCCCTGTTACCCCTTCACTAAACTTTTGATCTCCCTTTGCAAAACCTCGTCACTCCTCTACAAAACCTTCGTCACCCATTTACTAAACCCCTGTCCTCCATATTTACTAAACCCTCTACCCCTCTAAAAAAAACCCTGTCACTCCTTTCCTTAAAACCCGATCACCTCTCTATATAACCCGTCATCCCTTTTACAAAACTCGTCACCCCTTTCCACAAAATCCCTGTCACCCCTTATACAAGACCCCTGTCACCCCTGTACAAATCCCGTCAGCCTTTTACTAATCCCGTGTCCTCCCTTTACTAAACCCCTGCCCCCTCTCCAAACCCCTGTTACGGTCCACAAAACCCCATCACCTCTCTACAAAAACCCTGTCACCCCTGTACAAAACCTCTGTCACCCCTTTCCTAACCCCTACCCTCCCTTTACAAAATCCCGGTCACTCCTTTCCACAAAACCCTGTCACCTCTCTACAAAACCCCTGTCACTCCTTTTACAAACCCCTTTCCAAAAAAAACAAAACTCCTGCCCCCTCTGTACAAACCCCCATCACCCCTTTACTAAACCCTTGTCCTTCCTTTATAAAAAAAACACTGCCCCCCTACAAAATTTTGTCACCCCTCTACAAAATCCCATCACCCCTCTACAAAACCCCTGCCCCACCCCGTTACAAAACCCCTTGTCACCCCTCTACAAACCTCCTGTCACCTTTTTACTAAACCCACCACTTAACTAAAATGTAGTCAGGACAACCAGGTCAGCTAAAATGGATTGGAAACTGCTCCGTGCAACGGAGTGTAGTGAGTAGCCGTCAGCTACATCACATTTCCAGTGAGGTGCTCGCCCACAAGTACCCTGTAATTGCCCCTTGTTTTACCTTCTTCACTCAATGCTAACATTTTGATCAATAGTATGTCACAAAAACAATTAAAATATCCCTTGAGCAACACAGATACCTTCATAAAACACAATTTCCTCTGAAGTAAACAGCATGAGACAGTGACTGGATCATTCACAAGGTATTATACCATTGCAGCATCAACTTGATTAACCTTTTACTGTGGTTACAGTTTGCTGCAAATCAGCATCCACTAAAGAAGCGCATACCAAGCACCATAACCACTACATCCCACTGTATTGGTTAGAGTGCCAGGCTTGTCTTGGCACACTTCCAGTTGTAACTATTACACAACACAGTGGCCATTTCCCAAATCGCTGCTTACTCTAATTACTACTCTGCTCTATCCTAGCATCTTTGCCTTCTCTTTACAGAGTTTGCTCACTCACTCAATATTGTTCATAGGATATACACCATTGAGAGAAGCCACTTTTCAGTTTCTTTTAATAGACTCTTTGTACTAAAATGTGTAATGTATCACATTTGTTATTGGATTGACTCCACAGAATCCACCCTGGAAAGAAAGCTCTCCAACTTGGCATACCTGTATTCACCTGCTTCACCTAGGCCTGAAATCTTTCCATAGATTGGTTATTATTACCCTACATAATCCTAAGCAAGTGAAATAACATGAACACAATGCCTTGGAAGGTAGTTTATTTACAAAATAGTAAAAATACAAACAAGCATAAAATAAAGCCTTTTGATGATTATAAACAAATTTAGAAAACTATAGCAAATATTTACATAAATATATTATGGTATATAAATATAGTAACAAAATAAGCATATGTTTAATACAATAAATTATATATATATATAAATAGTGCATTTAAAATTCAAGTGCTTAGTCAAAAAGAATACCTCAAATAGTAGAAAAATACTATACAGCAGATCTCCTATATAACTTATTACGTTGTACAAACCCTTTTAAACCAAAAAAAATACCATTCAGATATTCTTGTGTTTTACTGCAAACTGCAGTAGACCTACATTTTTTTGCAAGCAGATATTTTAAGATGGATGCTCATGGAAATGTAATGAAGTGTTACTAAATGTTGAATTCTTCACATCTGCAGTATAGCAGCTCAGTAGGGTGATGTTCTGTAATGTGTAACCATAAACAGCAGTTTTAAGACATATTCTGCAGACAGTAAAAGTAATACAATTTGTTTTTGAAATCTGTAAAGGCCAAGCATGGTAAAAAAAAAAAATAATGTCCATGTCAATAAACAATTATTATAGTTGTTTTCCCTTATTTTGAGAGCAGCAATGTAAAAATAATAATAAACTGTTGAGTGAGGAATGTGATCATTTCTTATGCTGATTATTTGCTTTTTGGTTTTTTTTGCATTTGAAATGTTGATATTTCATATATTTGATTGATATCCTCAAATGTGATACATTTTGGTCAGTTTATGTTTTTCTCTCCTTTCAACGCAAAGTAGTTTTTATTTGTTGTGATAGTTTGGATATTGCACGAGTCCTAGAGGATCCATACTATCAACAAGAGAGCCTTTATTCTCATCCATGTTGTACTGAAACCTATAGTCTTCATCCCCCAAAGGATTGCTGACCTCCATTGGAACCCAGCTTATTACTGGTAGAAAATGGGACAATGGCAAGTATCCTTTCCCTTTGTATTGCTGTCGCTGTTTATCCTTGCTCAAAGAGACAGCAATGCCATATTTTGAAGATTTATACATGTTGTATCCGTCTGGTAGAAGCTCTTCTTCAAAAGAACAGTCTTCCGTGGAAAAAATAGGCTGTCATTAAAAAAATAAAAAAAATAAAATAAAATAATAATAATATTAATAATGAAAATAAGTTTTCAACAAATCACATTTACTAATATTTAGTATTAGTGTGATAGAAAAATATTTCAGTTATAGATCAAAAGATAATACATATTGAATTAGATGTCAGAAAATCAGTGTGCAATTTTTAACCCCTTTACCAAAATATATATTTTTTAAAACCAAAATTTATAATGTTTATTTGAAATATTGGATGAAAATGTGAACTTAGGACAAAACAGCAATGTTATGCTTAGATTGCTGTTCGGGAATAACTAAAAAAAATATAATTGTGTTTAATTTAATTTCACCATCTTATATGGTATATCCCTTATCTTGCAATATGTCTAATATATGTAAATAAAAACGAATGGACACAGACATTTCATAACATACAGCTGATAGGTATTTTTACAGAATATGCTGATATGGTAATGTAATGGCTGTATGTTGCCATAAAGCCCACATATAGGTTAAAACTGTGTATCTATAATTTAAAGGCTATTTCAAGCAGGTGATGCAGCTTGCAGATATACCCTGATGTGAGACAGACCCTTTCTAACCATCTGCTCTTCCCATTTTCTACAATTACAAGCATTATTCAGATTGTAACATGTAGGCTCCTGTATGGTACAGGAGGAAGGAATTTGTTTACAGTTTTTCTGCATGAGGCAGAGGGACAAAGCTGAGACCCTTTGAAAATATCTGTTTCTAAATTGTGCAAGGATTAGTGTAGGAGCAGAGGGAATGGTAAGTGGGGCCTTTGTTTTATATTGCAAATATCTTTATTTATTTATAAAATATTTTACCAGGAAAGATACATTGACATTTCTCTTATTTTCAAATATGTTCTGTGTCTATATACACATCTCATGTAGTGAAGGGGTTTGTAAAATTTAATTGACAGAGATGCCAGTAGAAAGTTTCTATTTATAATTTTTTTGTTATCCTCAGCTATGTATTGGGGTAAGAACATACACTTATTCAGGCCATTCAGGCCATGTTTAGCATGAGCAATTGATATATAGCTTTATAGGATACAGCTGTTAGATTTAATATGACGCTATACCAGCCACTTGGTTGAAGCCGCATAATGGGAAACATATGGCATAACATCTACACAAAGTTAGCGATCTGTGGTATAGAACAGGAGCAGCAACCCTTGGCACTCCAAATGTTGTGGACTACATCTCCCTTAAAGGAACACTATAGTCACCAGAACAAATACAGCTTAATGTAGTTGTTCTGGTGAGTATAATCATTGCCTTTAGGCATTTTAATGCAAACACTGCCTTTTCAGAGAAAATGCAGTGTTTACATTGCCTCTAGAGACACCTCCAAGTGGCCACTCCTCAGATGGCCACTGGAGGTGCTTCCTGGCTCAGTGCTGCACAGTAGGCAGCAGTGTGGTTAAGTGTCTCCACGCTCTGCATGGGGATGCTGAATTTCCCTCATAGAGGTGCATTGATTCAATGCATCTCTATGAGGAGGTGCTGATTGGCCAAAACTGTGTTTGGCCCTGCCCATTGCCGATCTCAGTCAACCAGGAAAGCATTGGATTGGCTAAAAATCTGCAATTCTGATGATGTCCCCAAGGGGGTGGAGCTAGCACCAGCGGACCGGCGCAGCACTGAAAATAAGGTGCGTTTTAATTGCTTTTAAGGGTGCTAAGGAGCGGGGAGGCAAGCCACCTATATACGGGGTTTAGCACTATAAGGTCAGGAATACATGGTTGTGTTCCTGACCCTATCGTGTTCCTTTAATGCTCTTACAACAATAATGCTGGCAAAGCCTCCAGGGAGATCTGGTCCACAACATCTGGAGTAATGATGGTTGCCTACTCTAGGTAAAGAATATATAATGTACTGCCCCATGCTACGCATGTGATGATTTATATAGATCTATTTTTTATACTAGTATTTCAGGGTTAACTTTTAACATTTTCTCTGTTGGGTAAATTAATAATTCCTAATGCCATGTTGGAAGTAGTACATTTAATTTAAGTAGCATTATGCCTCAGTTCCTTCCCATAGCAATGACAAGTGTTTGTTTGAGTTTATTTAGCAGCCAGTGAACCCAGACACATAATCAGCTACTTTATGTTATTGACCTTGAGTTCATTCAACCATTCTGACCAAGCCAAAAATAAAACACAAAGTGTAAGAAAGATTGTGCAAAAGATTCAGCTGATAAATGCATTCAAGTGCCTTTGATACTGAGGATTCCATCTGGGTTTAAATGACTGATTAATATTTTTCATTTTAAACATGAGACTGAAGATTAAGATTTACACTTTGATTTCTATATTATGTATATGTTAGGTGTAGTACTTTGACCTGAAATACTCTGAGTTGTTATTCGCTGAATGTGACATTCACTATCTGCTCATAACAATTCTGTCAGCTGTATTCTATATTCTGTTACGCTTTATATATATATGTTAATGTATCACCTCAGTTGCTGGCACCTCAGTGATTAAAATGTTCCTGGTGATGCTGTAAACTTGCGATTCTTGTGGAATGATCAAGATAAATGTATTTCCGTGACAGCGCTGACTTTGCGCAAGATAACAGTTAACATTTCAGTTACATGGAAGGAACTGTCTCTGTGACACTTACCATTCCATAGAGTTTGCCATCGGTACCCATGCAGAGATACAGTGTGTTATAATATCCTTTAATAGCTACAACCCCAACCGCAACTGCTCTGATCTCAAGTAAACCTAAGCAAAAAAATAAATAAATAAAGCAAAATTAAAAACAGAAACATACTTAATGTGCAGAATATTTATTCAGCTTACAATTTCCAGAAAAACAAAACTATCTAGCAAGTAAAGTGGGATTTATTCCCTAAACTCTGAATTTTAGTGAACTCTAATCACAAATGGCAAAATTAGGCTAAAATAGCCGATTCTACAGTTCAGCTAAAAACACAGCCTGGCTACTTTAGTCAGATTTTTAGTATTTGGATTTTTAGAATTTAGTGAATTAGCCTGTATGACCTACAGGTTAATAAAAATAAAATTAAATAAGCAAAACAAAACATAAAAACCAGCATATTCACATAACCCAGTTCAAATGTATATATTTACTAATAAGGAACTTTTTCTATACTTACTGTGAACACTTTGATGCCTTTCTCCATCAACTCTGCCATCATTATTTATCCTCAGATAATAGCTTTCCTGGCCATGCTTTCTTGCTGTATAAAGATGTCTTATTCTTATAGCCTCTCCCCAGCCATTATGCACATGTGGTCCTGCATCCAAGAGTGGCATTGAATGAGCAACCTGGACTAGCCACAGTTTCACCAACAGAAGGGAAAAAAGAAGTTGAGGCAGACTTCTCCACATCTTGTCAGGCTTGGAAATGGCAATTTGAGAGCTCACAGACACACTCAGTGATACTAGTTGCCTACAGACAGACTAAGACAAGCTATGCTTTTTTTTTTTTACCTAATTGCCTCAGGGCTGTAGTAAATACAGAGCCAATCCCCTGCCTTTTATAGGTCTTTCTTATCAGCTCTATAGATAAGGCAATACTTTTCATATTGACCTGCATTACATCATTCTCAGATATTTTGTGTGTTATTTTACTATTTTGAGTGGGTTTTATTGCTTTGGTGAAATTATTTGCCTTATAAACATTGATGATATTACTGGTCTCTCAAATTTGCTAAAGACAGACCTTTTAAATGGAAATTATTTAATGGAAATATTTGTATATGCAAATAGAGAACAATCCATTATATGGGTCAACATTTGTTTTTTATTCTGCTAACTATATCGGGGTAGGCAACCATCAGTTCTCCAGAAGTTTTGGACTACATCTTTCATAGTGTTCTTACAGCCATAATTCTGACAAAGCATCATGGGAGATGTAGTCCAAAGCATGTGGAATGCTGAAGGTTGCCTACCCCTGGACTCTATAGCTTTTATCCAAAGTGGACCATATACTTTTGAATTCTTCTGAGAAGTTTATCATCTAGCTCTTCCTACGTAAATAATGGTGTTTGAGAAAATGTCTCCCAGAGTGGTACTTTTACATGTGATAATCGATTGTATTCAGTAGACCGCCAGGGTCAATTAGTCTAAAGATTTACCTTTGGGTGTCATGGAACTAAAGCTCCCATGGTGAGCAAAGCTTTGTTGGAGTTATTGTACAACAGCTGCGTCTGTTTCTGACTACCTTTGGCAGTCTCATTGCCACGCTGACTGGGTCCCACTCTGTTTAAAAATAACAGTTCTGGTCCCAGGTTTTTTGTTTATTCATTATAATCGTATTGGTAATATGAAGTTCATGCAATAAATTACAAATTTATTGCATGAGCTTCATATTACTGATACGATTAGAATGCAATCGATTATCACATGTAATACAATGGATTATCACATGTAAAAGTACCACTTGCTGATTTTAACTTTAAAGTTTTATATAAGTAATATTACGATCATGGCACCAATACTGGGAATTGAAAGACAAGTGGTTAAATTAAATAAAGAGCTTTTTTTTTTTTTTTAAACAAAACAAAGCAAATAAAAACCCCCAACAAACATTGAGTTTAACTGTCTTAAATGTAGTAAGGTTTTCATTTATAATTCAAACACAATAGTTATGCAGTTATGCACACAAAATAAAAAGTGGTACTATGAGACAGCTTACTTTTCTGTTTAAAACCACATTTTTAACTGTGTTGTCCTGCTACGACACTCCTGGCAGAATTTTCTGTAACTTGTTTGATTATGCTGATTCACTGAAATACCATGCAGTGACAGGACTGGAAATGTGCCCAGCTTACCTAGTTTCACTTTATGGTCATTAATTAATATCTGTGCTTCCAGCCCCTGGTCCTTTTTTCAGTGCATTGTTATACGTTGACTTCACTGGGTATATCATCTGAATCTTATTCTATCCCACTGCAATGATACGCAGTGGAAAACATTTGACTTCCTCTGGCTTCATGTTTGCTCGTCCATTTTCCATATAACACGTCTATTACAACTGTACCCTGTAATGTTGTTTGTGGGTATCTATGGGAATATTCCCATAACCATATTTGTTTTTCCAGTATTATCAAGCTGCATGCTTACCTCACAGAGATTAGTATCCTGTGCGCTTATCCTTTTTACACCCATGTCTGGATACTCTAATGGGAGTTGCCAGGCACTGGCATCAGTGCCAGGCATCAAATGATGTCCATGATAGTTATTCCATAGAGACACATTAATGTTTGGTTCTATTGCAGACCTCTGTTTGTAAAATTTGGTCTGGACATGCCCCATGTCACACTGTTTATTTTACAGAGGACTTTAATTGTATGTTATGCCAGAATGCCTGTGTTAAAAGCGTGAGAAAACTTCCTTCAATAAGTCTGACCTGGAGCTAAAAGTATAAAATCCTACTACTTGTGAACAAAGCTGAACTTTCACCAGGTCATAGGTAAGTGGTTAAGGAAATCTGTAGCGTTCAACAGCCACATCTTAACACATGAAACTACTTTTGTCACCTTTGCTTTGTTTTATCCTTCCCCTTGCTAGGAAACATAAAAGTAAATTACATTATATTCATGGGCAATTAAGTGTAGTCAGGGATTACTTGCATAAAAGAGCCATTTCAACAACTAAAAGTATTATGGAGTAGTGCAGAGAAATAACAGTTTTGTTTGTTGTTAAAACAAACCAAAGGGCAGGGGGGGGGTTGAGCTACATATTTTTTTCCCTAATTCAGATAATTTGGCCTAAATATGCAATTCCCTTTTGAATGTTCCACAATTCCTAATTTAGTAAATTATCTGTGAAACAGGTGCCAAGAAGAGACTGTCCCGACAGATTACAAGTAAGTTTAATTGTGGTTTGGTTGTTGTTTTTTTGTTTTTTTAAGAGAAGGACAGTAATCGAAAATAATAATGGCACACAGGTTATAATTAAATATATTTACAAAATTAGGTCTTGATTTAAATTTTTTTTAAATTAGATTTTCAAATCATTACAAGCTGTTAAAAAAACAACTTTTCAAATGATTTATCTACAAAAACTCCCATAAATTTTAATATTTACTTCTGTAGATAAATCATTTGAAGAGTTTTTCTAACAGATTGTGGTAAAAAAAAAAAGCATATAATAATTTCCTTTTATGAGCAAACTTGTGCAGCTCATAAAACACGTAGAGTTTCTTAACTAGATTGTAAATTATGATGAGTGAATTGGAAATTGGAAACTTACAGAGTCAAATAACTTTTTCTCCATCTCTGTATTCTATGTCGTTTGCAAATTCCATTATGAATTTACCACAATCAAGTGTTTCTTCAATACACAAAATATTTTTTCTCTCTGCTGCTCTGTTCTACTGCAATTCATATAGTAAATGTATTCTGCATAATATACATGTTGCTCATCCCTTTTGGTTCTGAGATTTTTTTTGAGAGCCAACTAGTGTTACTCTACAATTTATTTATTTTCATTTAATATATATATAATTTTTCTGTCTTTAAAAACATGTTATCTCCCTGTTGCTAGCTATAGTTTTCCATATTTAATAAATCTTCCATTCATAGCACTGTATCGTTTGTCAGGTTATTGCTGTTTTAGGAAGGGCCACTGGATGGCGCTCCACAATCACTCTCCCAGCATTTACTAATTTAAAACTCCAGCAAACAATGTGTACCTGCTTAAAATATACTATCTTTAATTTATTCCAAGAGAATTGGTAGCAGAAATGGTAAAAATCAGAAGCAAGACTATTTTATTTACTTAAAGTAGAACTTTTTAAAATTAAAGAGTTAATAGTGCAACATAAATATATATATTTTTTTTTAAACTGCAATTATCTCTGCTGTTTTCCTATGTTCTAATGCTAGTTTAGTCCACAATTGCATGGCATTGATGATTAAGCAGGTCAGTAGACACACCTCATAAGGGATTCTTTTAGGTATGTCATAGTTAAATATCCATTTTCTGTTTTATTTTATTTAAATTTATGTCAAAATGTGCAGCGCTTATCAGGTTGTGTCTATTTGTATAGTTTCCTAGTCCATAGCCACGGACAACTATGTTAAATATATTTCCGTTTTAACTGTTTAGTGAGAATTAAATTATCGTGTCAAGTAAGTTGACTCGCCCACGGAATACCCTTTTGGAGCTGGTCATATGACAGCATTGTGGATTTCTACAACTCATACACATGCCCTACATAGACAAACTAGAGAGCATTGACCTTTAATAGTGTTTGCAGAACACCGCTGATCGTAATGTGCCCTGGTCATAGGGAAGGAGAGGCTGCGATTACGGTGTCATGATTTCTAGTGGTGTCAAAAATTTCTAGCTATTTATCACATTCAAAAAGTCAATGTTGGTCAAAAGGAATAGGAAATACTTGTGTATAATCAGTCATGGCCCTCCTTTATGTATGTGTCCATTCATCAGCTGCAAATGACAAGAACCAATATAAAACACATGTATAGAACACAAGTAACCTGGGGTCTAGTGGGAATATATACTATAAAACACACCTGTTTATAAAACACAAATCTCTCTTTTTTTTTTTTATATCTTGTCCTAATCCACAGAAGCACAGATTCTACAGTCTCATTGGAGGAATGAACTGGAATGATGTATAAGATGATACATTGTTTATGTGCTCAGTGAAGATGGAATGTTGGTGAATTATGACTGGAATAACAATGACATGATTGCAAGGATTCTGCCTACAATTAATTAATTACATGGAAACAATACACCAGATTGAAATTAACCCAGTGATGACTATTTTCCAAGTTTCTTTCATTTTGTTATTGAGGACTTTTTTTGCATTTTTGTTACGTATTCGTTCCATGGTAAGTTTCTGTTTTCTCATTAGATGCCTCCATACATATTATATATTATATAATTTAAAGGACAGGTAGGGCTTTTATTATGATTTCGTATATACTCAAAGGAGTGGTCTGGTTGTAGTGTCTCTGTTCCCTTAGAGCAGGGTTTCCCAACACAGTCCTCAAGTACCCCCTACCAGTCCAGGATTTAGGGATTACCAAATTGTGTCTAAGGTGTTTTTAGAGGGGGAAAAAAACCACTTTAGACGAAACAAAGTAATCCCTAAATCCTGGACTGGTAGGGGGTACTTGAGGACTGGGTTGGGAACCCCTGCCTTAGAGGAACACTATACCGTCAGGAATACAAACCCGTATTCCTAAAGCTATAGTGTGTCCTGTCCCTAATTTACTAGGTGCCCCCCAACTCCGGTCAGGAAAGTGTTAAAAAAAGTCACTTGGGGGCGTGGTTTGGGCTCTGACCAAGATAGCCGCTTAACTCCCGAGCTCCGCAACACCTATTCCCTATATAGCGCTACATCTTAAGCTACGAAGTGCAAATGGAACTCACCCGTCGCCCAGAGCCTCCCTTGACAGCGAGGGAATCCCAGCCTTGTCCTCTGACCGGCCCCATGGGTGGCTTCCTTCCACAAGAGTCGCTTCATCTAATGTGGCGCGGCAAGTGGAAGTGTTGCTGGCCATAAGAGGACACCTAGAAGACCTGGATAACAGAGGCCGTAGGTGTAATATTTGGGAGGAAAACGCGGAGGAGGTGCTCACAGGTCTGTTCCGGGTAATTCTGGGTGATAATGCGCCTTTGCATTTTGAATTTGAGAGGGCCCATAGAGCCACGAGACCACAATCCTCTGATAATACCCCATGAGACCTGATCTGTTGCATGCACTCGTTCCCAGTCAAAGACACCATTATGAGAAAGGGCCGAGATAGAGCCTCCTGGGAGTACCGTGGGGCCAAAGTTTCGATGTATAACGATCTTTCGCCCATCACACTGGAAGCAAGGCGTGCACTGCGACCTGTGACAACACCCCTGCGGGAGCAAAATATTAACTATAAGTGGGGTTTCCCCTTTGCTTTACTAGCAAGACATCAGCATTGATGGGCATCTATTTGATGTCCTGAGGAGGTGCCTCAATTTCTGGAGGAGATGAGGCTGCCCCCCATCGTGGTCCTTGACTGGGTTCCGGGGTCCTTGGTTGGGCCCGGGGCCTCGGCCACAAAGAGCTCCCCAACAACATGGAGGTAGATCCCCGTCGGGCCCTCCGCCTCGACGACGCTCAGACCTTGCCGCCTCAGAGGAATGAGCACTGAACTACGGTCTTCTGCAAGATCTGGTTCCAATGGCTCTACTAACGGTCCTCTTCATAGGACTACTCCAAGTCTCCTGCTCTTTGGCTATGTATTATTAATGTTTTATTTATAATTTTTTTTTTCATTTCACCTTTATTATGTTTTATTTTATGTTATTGCTTTAAATTTCTCTCTGCGGCTCTTTGATGAGCTTATGGGCCTGGTAATAAGTACACACTGCCATGTTTTATAGTGGGTATATGAGACCTCCTGGATCATTGGAGTTACTTACACTAATATTTTCTGCGGTCAACTCCCTCATGCAATATGGGGAATGTGTTGGTATATCCAGAGGGATCATGGTCCCCAGCAGAGTACTAGGTGTCCCCCCTATTGTCTAATGTTTTATTTTTCTCTTTTCTTTTGGTTTGTTTGTCTTGGCCACTTTTAATTGAGCCCTGTCTCCAGGATTGGTCCAGGGCACGCGAAAAACAATCTGGTATTTCGATTGAGACTAGCACTTAATTTATTGCTATGTATCAATTTAGTTAATCATATGTGTAACATAGGGGCTCATGGTATGATATGATAATGGTGCGGGGTCTGAACCACGATCCTACCACAGGCTTGTGTGTATATATATTCATGGTGTGGTGTTGGAGGAGGTCGTTTCTAGGGCTGGTTACCGGGACGACTCCCTAGCATTTCTCATCATCACACGAGTTCTCTCTGATTTAGTGGGGGATTTTTTGAGACCTCTTTAGTCCCGCGTTGGTGCTATTCCCTGGCATATTCTGTTTCTTTTTTTTGCTTATCATACTTCTCTTTTCTCACTAATTCCTCTATCTCCAACGGCTCAGGGCTTCCCTGGTTGCATCTCTTTCTTTGACTGGGGCTGGGTGTGATCAGGGGCGTGATCAGCCTGCGTCACTTACTAGTCCTCCTACTGACTCTCCTTTTCTCTTTTTCCCCTTTGCTTTCCCCACTCCCCCCTCCTCGGGAGAAAGTGCCTCACCGCGAGATTGGCAACGAAGCATATGTGGAGTGGGGTGAGTGTGCAGTGTTCTCCGTGTATTGCTAGATACTGACCATGGGGTGGCCTATCATCCGGCTCCTTTGTCTATCCTCACTCTTAACTGTTGGGGGTTAAATATCCCGGAGGTATAATTTATTGAGGGAGTTGAAGAAAAGGCACGTCTCATTATTGCAGGAAACACACTTTGTGGACAGGGCGGCTCCCAGGTTTCAGAACCGTTTCTATCCGGATAATTTATTTTGTAATCATCCGTAAATCCGGAAGGCCAGAGTAGCTATTCTGCTTGCTGGCGATATATAATTTTGGGAACTTGATCGGAGAGACGACCCAGGTGGTCGGTTTCTCTTTCTTAAGGGCATTATCGCCGATAAGATTTGCACCTTGGCCTCTCTGTATGTCCCCAACCGTAGACAGGCTCAATTTATCAAGAGGACCTTGGGTAAGCTCACTGAATTTGCGGAGGGGAACCTGATAGTGGGAGGGGACTTTAATGTGCCTCTTGACCCTCTATTTGATTCCTCCTCTGGGCATAGCTGTATTTCTCCCTTAAGCATTTGTTCTATCTGACAATCCTTGAGGGATCTAGGTTTGGCGGACTGCTGGCGCACTCTCCATCCTGACACTAAGGATTATACGCATTACTCCGCGATTCGTGACAGATATTCCCGTATTGATTATTTATTCACCAGGCTGGAGGGCCTGTCTCACCTGTTGAAAACATCGATCGGACCTTCGATTTGGTCTGACCATGGTTCGGTATGCATAGAGCTCGAATCGCTGTTATTGCGCCCTACCACCTGGACGTGGTGGCTTAATGAGGCGCTCCTTCTGGACCCAGAGGTAGCAGAGCAAATCAATCAAGCCTTGGATCAGTACTTTCAGGAATATAAACTAGCCCAACGGGAGACGTTCTGGATACATAAATTACAGACCTTACATCCCAAGGGACTTAATATCGATATAGACCTTATGTGTTTTCTGGATTAGTAAACACTTTTTTCTCTGCGACAGTGCCTGGTTAGGAAGGTTCTCTTTAAACCTATTTTTTGGGGATTATTGTTTTTATTATTATTTTCCCCAATTCGGGGTTTTGTAACATTTATATTGGTGTCATTAACAATTATCTAATGAGAATTAGAGATCTGTACTGAGGTAGTTAGATATTTTATAATTTATTTGTATCAGGAACGATTATTATTAGATTAAAAAAATTTATACTCATTAATTGATGTAGCAGAATTAGAATACACCTTGGTGGGGGAACATGCAGAAAGAGGGTATTAAGAAATAAATTTAAAAAACAAACAAAAAAAACACATAACTTTATTTAATAAGTCTAAATGATGAATATTCATCCATACACATATTTTTATTGAATTATAGGAATGTGAAATTTAGGATCAAAGATATCTCCCTTTCGATTTATACATCTTATTTGAATAGTTAAGGATTATGGAAAGATTGAATTGACACTCATAGAACATAAATCTTTATAAACAAATCCTATAACTATATATATCCTCTCTCCAATTAAACACTAAGGCTTATGTATGGTGATTACTAACCCTCCTTCCTTCTGCTAGGATCTTCTGCCAGTGAGTGTGCTTTTTCTTTTTCTTTTTGCAACCAAGCAGTTATATATTGGGCGACCTCTAGGTGGCAATATGCTTTTTTGCTTCTTCTGACCGAATTGGAACGCATGTGGAACGCGGAAGTGCAGAACGGAGGTCACTTCCAGTTTCCGGTTTTCATCTATTCGCGCCCAAAGGAGATAGGGGAACATCTATTCCCCCATCGGTGGGGGGGAATATTGTATGCATTTTTTGTATTGATTGTTTTTACTATTGCTTTGTTATATTTTGGTCCCTGAGGAAGTTCCTAATTATAGGAACGAAACGCGTAGGACCTCCTTTTTATTTATTTGATGTGGCTAATATATGTAGCCCTTTTTATAAAATAAATTTTGCATATTTCATCTATTTCCACTGGAGTCTCGTCCTTTGGTCTATTTGGATTACCTGTGGATTTCCCTTGGGAAGTGGATACCCCTAGCCGCCCAAATTCATCGGGGAAGGCACCATTTGAGTGCATTATTCATTCTGATTCTGTGAGTGCACTACAATCTCAACACATTTATATTGGTTTTACTGTATTACACTATGTGTCTTTTTTTGTTCCTGTTTTAGATTGTATACAGCCGTATCTCTGTTTTTCCTGTATTCAAGTATATATTGTAAAGGGTCGGGAAATGGGCCACGACCTTGAGAGGCTGTTCGGATTGATTCAGATAAGTACTTTTGGATACTAATCCTCTTTCTTACTATATTTTAGTGAAAGTAGAGGTATTGCATATATACTGTTTTTTTCCAGGAAAACGAAAGGCATGATACTTCGTCTATTTCAATTTGGGAAGCTCATAAGAGCGTAATACGGGGCACGCTGATACGCATCACCTCTACGAAGAAAAAATTGTCACTCCAGCTGATGACGGACCTTTACAGCATGATCTCATGCCTAGAATCCCAACACAAACGGACACAGACGATGGAAATATATAGGGATTTATTACAAGCTAGACATAGACTGACAGACCTTCTCACAAATACAGGGAGTGCAGAATTATTAGGCAAGTTGTATTTTTGAGGATTAATTTTATTATTGAACAACAACCATGTTCTCAATGAACCCAAAAAACTCATTAATATCAAAGCTGAATATTTTTGGAAGTAGTTTTTAGTTTGTTTTTAGTTTTAGCTATGTTAGGGGGATATCTGTGTGTGCAGGTGACTATTACTGTGCATAATTATTAGGCAACTTAACAAAAAACAAATATATACCCATTTCAATTATTTATTATTACCAGTGAAACCAATATAACATCTCAACATTCACAAATATACATTTCTGACATTCAAAAACAAAACAGAAACAAATCAGTGACCAATATAGCCACCTTTCTTTGCAAGGACACTCAAAAGCCTGCCATCCATGGATTCTGTCAGTGTTTTGATCTGTTCACCATCAACATTGCGTGCAGCAGCAACCACAGCCTCCCAGACACTGTTCAGAGAGGTGTACTGTTTTCCCTCCTTGTAAATCTCACATTTGATGATGGACCACAGGTTCTCAATGGGGTTCAGATCAGGTGAACAAGGAGGCCATGTCTTCTTTTATACCCTTTCTTGCCAGCCACGCTGTGGAGTACTTGGACGCGTGTGATGGAGCATTGTCCTGCATGAAAATCATGTTTTTCTTGAAGGATGCAGACTACTTCCTGTACCACTGCTTGAAGAAGGTGTCTTCCAGGAACTGGCAGTAGGACTGGGAGTTGAGCTTGACTCCATCCTCAACCCGAAAAGGCCCCACAAGCTCATCTTTGATGATACCAGCCCAAACCAGTACTCCACCTCCACCTTGCTGGCGTCTGAGTCGGACTGGAGCTCTCTGCCCTTTACCAATCCAGCCACGGGCCCATCCATCTGGCCCATCAAGACTCACTCTCATTTCATCAGTCCATAAAACCTTAGAAAAATCAGTCTTGAGATATTTCTTGGCCCAGTCTTGACGTTTCAGCTTGTGTGTC